ACATTGCGCAGTCTCGTGCTATAGATTCAGAAATTTAATGATATTTAAATGTTATATTGCGAATATACCTTATCCGTAACCATATACCGAATATGGCTCGTGTAGAACGAAGAATTGGATAAAAAAGCAATTCTGATTTCGAACGAAAAGACATTACCTTTGAATCGCGATTTCAATGACCCAGAGATCTTGTGTACATGAAACGGGAAAAGTGAATAATTTTAGGTTTTTTTTTTTTAACGTCGAAGCAATACCAGACAGAGATCATGGAATCGGTCTGGAGTAGCACGATAGATAGGAGAAATTCAAAGAAAGCGAAAAGTGAAGTTTGGATAGATTCGATGGAGCGGATAGGTCAATCCTTGGAGAAGGTAGCCGCAGGCTGTACGATTGAAACTCTCTGACTCCGCTCACTGCGTTATCTCCAATCCCCAAACTCCACAGCTTCCATTGGAATGTCAGTTCCTTTCTGCCAGGAGCAGTATCGCCAAGTCGTAATGCCAGTACCACTACTAGAGGCACCGACGATCTGTCCTCGTATTCCTAGTATTCCAAATTAAAGTAGAAACTCATCCCATTCTAAATCTGGAGACGATATCGACAAACTAATTCCCCTATTTTCATGCAATTGAGTAAAACTTTTGGAAAAAGTTCACGACGAGTGCAGACTCGATGTTACTGGTTTTCGCTTTGAGATAAAATTTCGGAGAATTTTTTTTCTTCCAACAAATTCGTCTGCTACCTATTTTGTTTCCATTTAGCCAACTGAATCGCAAGAAAATATTGAACGTATACTTCATCTCCGAAAAGGTATTACGAGTATCCTAAAGTTGCATGGAAAAAAAAACTCCAGAATTTTTTGTAATACCTTATACGTTCTTTTGTAATCGTAATACGTTAAAAATACAGATTGTAAAAAATTACCTTTTTTACGGTAACATATTTGTACAAGGGACAATGACGGGTTGCAGGCTACCTAAATTTATTATAGCTACCACGGATCAACCTTTGTTCGACGTTAAAACCATGGGACTTGAAGTGACCAGTCACTGCAGTTATTGTCTTTTATCAAACCGAGTCCCTCCAGATATGACAATGCAATAATGAAATTGGCCATACGCTGGACTTCGGATAAAGGCGATTTTCAATTTTTTCTCCCACCGACTGGGCAAACTAAATTAGTTCAGCCTTCGCTAACACGAGATCACTTGCGTAATAATACCTGAAATCATTTCGACTTCGGATTGCGGGATAACAAAATTTCAAGCTTTACCCAAAATACATTTACAGAGTAGCCACGTGGATCTTCACTTGTAGACCAATTTAGACGCGACGTACACAATATCACGGAAAGATAAATTTTCGAAAATAAACTCAATCCGTTACAGTCACATATCTTCGCCTATCTCACAATGGTTCGATAACTTCATTCACCCAATGGATACTTCATTCCGAAGCCAAAGAGGGCAATCGGTATTGGCAATTTCCAAACGTAATGAAGTTGCCTTCCCAGGGATTAGAAAATAATATTATTTCATAGCAGCGCTTCCACCCGAAGGGATGTAAAAAGCTGATCGAAGGATCAGACGATCCGCTGTACTATAAGACGTACAAACCACGTACACCAGTCATACGCATAAACATAATTTTACGAACGCCTTGCTATACCTTCCCTTATCCGGATTTTGAGCCGTCAACCTCAAAGGATGCGCCGGCAGCATCCACGGGAGCCGCACGCCTACTTTTAGCATAGAATGACAAAACTATTCACAAGTCGAGTAGCCAGTAATCTTTACTCCGCAGGTGAGCCGTTGTACTAGTTGCCAACTCAGCAAGTAATGTACGATGAAAGTTACGCTAACTTAAATGGAATAGAATAAGATTATATCATAAAGGCGCCTTTCCTCTTCTTGTACGCGGCGCCTTTCGTCTCTTCTTTCTTACTCAGCTGCGGTAATAGCTTTCAAAATATAGTCTCAAAACTTCACTGTACTTCGTCGGAGCCCTCCTCCAAGGAGAGTGCACTTCGTCAGACCGTTACCCCTCCGTTAACTGTGTGCATTGAGTTTACGTAGTCTTTCTACTGGTCCACCCCCCTCTCCCCACCCTACCCCCAAATCCAACCCATCAACCTTCCTTTAAAAGTAAAATATAAGACAGAGATTTCAGACGCATCCTAAATCCTAAAGCTTGGCTTTCGTCCTTTCGCGTACATACCTTGTTACACGCTCGCTCAACGTTCTCTTTGCGTATGATCTGATTTTGTTTCTTTTTCTCTTTTGTTTGACTAGCTTCTGATCTTTTGCGAAAACTGTAAATGGAAAAGCTCTATCCCGAAACGGCGCCTAAATATCGTCGCCCTTAAACCCGACACGTTAAGGACCGATAGTAAAGGACCCCCCGTAGGCTCGATAACGAAATATCAAAGTGGCAACTCGTGTCACCTTGTAGCCCCGTTTCCTTCTGGTGACCATGGACCTCGTTAATTGGAACGGACTAACAACGTTCGAGGGATCGAAACGATTCGTCATCATCGAAACTTGGAAGATTATAAGAGATGATTTACTTGGAGATGACAAGGATTGACGAAAAGTTTGTAGGTGGTGAAATTGTGAAAAAAATGCATATATTTACCTCGATCGAGATTTCGGGTATACGCGCATGGTGCAGGTATGATATATTGTAGGGAATAAATATGTTGCGTAAGATCAACAAGACTGCCAGTGGAAGGTTGAGAGTGAAGAGAAACGTGAAAGTTTCCGTATTGTGCAAGCGATGTGGCATAATTTGCATGTAGGAAATAGTTGAGCCTCTTTTGCAAACTTCACGTCGTATATCCCTTTTGAGCCGTTATCCTTGATTCCAGAGGAATTTCAAGGAACCGATTTTGTCGAGTACGACAGACTTTCGGCAAACTTATTTATAGAAAAAGTATAGTGATAAGGTTGCAAATTATCAGTTAATAGCGATTTGATTAGATCAATGAAAATGTGTATAAAGCTCAAAGGTCAGTGAGTCTTATGTATTAATATATAATAATGTATTGGACATATTATATAAACGATTCCCAATGGAGCTTAATTCAAGTTCAAACATATCGGCTCGTACGTTATACAGGGTTCAGACCAAAGACCAATGTGAATTTCTGCACCAAATATTGAAACTCCCGAATTGCTCTGAAATATACGAAACCTTGAAGGAAGGCCAAAAACCCGAAAGACGTTATTACGATGGCGATGATTTTATAAATTAATATATCACAAGCAAGTAACTGAATATTACTGTGCTCAAGTCCGATGATATTACATTCAAAGTCAATTATAGAAACTCATCTCTAAGAGTTATTAAGGTCTCCAGCATTTCCTTGCGCAATTATTGAAGTATTACAGATATACATATATATACAAAATACGTGCCACTCAATTCCATTAAATTACTATAAATCTTATTTGTATCCAATATATGTATATTGGACAGAGAATTTCATAGCGTGACGAAGCTCCATCGGGTAAAATCAATAACGAATTGATATCTCTTTTAATGATACGTACAATAAAAAAAGAATGAATTTCTATTAATTCATTAAAAAACGATGATAATAAATGAATCTTCTCACGGTATTACGCCGATAGCGAAAATTAATTTCTTCACAATTAGTCGGGTAACGAAACGTCACTAAACGGTTAATTCTTATGCAAATCGGATATAATTCCTATTTTACGAATATATTGATCTGTGCGCAAAACGTCATAAATATTTACATAATACGCATTTTATAATTCACGCGAGAACGTAAATCTACGCCTATACGACCACGTATAATTAGTGTTAAAAGAAATATTTAAGTCCTTGGACGAAAAAATACATTGTACACCAGGAATTAGGCATTATTGCTATGCTTCAGTTTAGAATTTACAGATATTAATATGATGACATTTGTGATGTCGAAAATTTTCAAAAGAGACACTTTTTGTCAACTATCTTCATATATTAATTATAGGTATCGCAGGACTACATATGTACTCATACGAGTTATTTCACAACGACGGTTCACGTGAAAATACATGATATACGCTTTTCCCTGAAAATTAATAGGACACCGGTGTAACCTTTCTACGTGAAAATTATCTCACGGTACATTTTTAATTAGCGGGGCAATTTCAGGGTGGAACGCACAATTGTTCCTACAGTCGACCCCGCTTACACTGTCGCTTAAGTAGGACCAAGGAGGGACCGGAGCATTCAAATTTTTCCTGGACGTGGTAATAAAAAGAGCTGCGTGCTGCTCGTGAGAAAGTACAGTTTCCCCGTGTCATAAAGATATGCATTTATTGTCAACTAAAATAAAATACAGTGGAGGCAAACGTGTGTGCATTTTAACGAATATTTTATAGCGAATTAAATCCAGAGTAAACGTATACCATATAGTTTACTTTTTTAAGGTATGCAGTGTGGCAAGAAAAATATTCTATCGAGTTAAATTATGCGTATAAGAATGCGTGGATTCCATGCTGCACAGTGAATTAAATTGAAATTTAGAAATTTCGAATAATAAAATATTTATTCGTGAAATCAAGAATAAATAAGGGTACTGATTACATAAAATATTTTTTAATTTTAGTCAACGCTAGAGCTTGCGCGTCATATACTCTATTCATGAAACAACGTAATTTCTAATTTTCATAATTTTCAAAAGTATAACAATAGTTTTCCTTCCAAATGAGCTCATCTGCTGGACACTGAAAAGGCAATAAAAAGCAAAAATATTCAATACCGTATGCACACGTGTAAATTCTGAGTAATAAATGTTTCTGTGATTAAAATATGAAAGACCAGTACGTATATCGTATAGTCAAAACTCTTCCAGAAATGTTTCATACACAGTAGCGATCCTAGAAATTATTACGAAATATTTAATTGTGAGCGATGAATGCTCAGTGGGCATTGATATAAACAAATGAGTACTATTTATCGAGGTTTTTGGAAAGTACAAAGAAAAAACTATTTTCAGACGGTAAAGCTGAAAAAGAACTTAACCAATAAAAATGCACTGATATCGTTCGATTAAATGTGTAACTAAGATATTCAAGACTTGTATGAGCGTAGGATCACGTATATATATGGATTAGAAGATTAACGGACCTTACGCAATATTACTCGCTGAAATATATTACAATGCAAATCCAACTGATTACGAAATGAAAATCCTCGAAAGAACTCCCAGTATCGCGGCAAGACGTATGAAAGCTTCGAATATATTAGATATAATATCGTGTCTTCTAAATCTTAAACTGTCTTGTACATAGCAAGAATATAAATATTTACATTCACGTTCGGAATATCGATGATGCAATCAAAACCTACAAGAGATATCGATAACATTCTAAAATCCGATACTCTTAATCCGAGTAAATAATAAGTATATAAAGAATCAAGCTAATACATTTCGTGCACGATAAAATAAATAATGGTTCTCTCAAGGTTAAATTTAGCAGAGAAAAGAATGTTCTGGCCATATTGGTTCGCTAGCATAGAAGGTTGGTATAGCATTAAAATACATGATATCGTAAGATATAGTCTGACCTTGCCCACTTTTCAGTGTCTATGCTATCCTTCAGCATTGGTTTGATGGCCGGTTGGACTTCGCCATATCTCGCAAAATTGACTGCCGAGGATTCGAAAATCCCTATCACTAAGAAAGAAGCTTCTTGGATCGCGTCTCTGATGCATCTCGGGCGTCTTGTTGGTGCAGTGATCGGCGCCTTGGCAGTGGAATACATTGGTAGTAAGAGCACGCTACAAATCACTGGAATACCACTAATTCTGGGTTGGATATGCATAGCCATTGCTAATTCTGCGGCCTGGCTCTATGTGGCGCGGATATTATCTGGCGCTGGAATGGGAATGATCTTCAGCAGCTTTCCTATGTATATTGGAGAAATATCAAAACCAAGCATACGAGGGGGTCTGGTTAGTTTGATTATAACTGGAATGCCATTTGGCACTGTAATTGGAAACATTATGGGACCTTACATATCGATGTGGATATTTGCTTGCATCAGCCTAGTGCCAAATTGTATGTTTTTTATACTTTTTCTCTTCATACCGAATTCGCCGCACTTTCTCGTACGAAAAAAAAAGTATGACAAGGCACTTAAATCAATAAGTTGGTATCACCGAGGATCGAATGCGGAGCAGGAAATGGAGTCAATTAAAAAATTTCAAGAGGGAATTTACAGTTCGAAATTCATTGACAAACTGAAAGAAATGGGGGAACCGATAAATAGAAAAGCATTTATCATGGTGACCGTGCTCGTTCTGCTTATGCAGCTGAGTGGATTAAACAGTATTGTATTTTATATGGAGATAATCGTGAAGAATGCTAAAGTAACAACGATCGAACCATCGACCGTTGTTATTATATCGAATACCGTGGGAATCGTCATTGGTTGGATAGCAATTTACGCAATTGACAAATGCGGTAGGAGGATTCTTCTCTTGATCTCAAGCTCCGGTGTTGTCGTCGCCATGTTTATGTTGGGTCTACATTTCATGCTAATCGAATCTGGTTACGATAGCAAGAAGCTTCAATGGCTGCCTATTCTATCGCTGATCCTATTCATGCTGATGTGCCTAGGACTGGTCCCAGTTCCTAGTACAATGCTCAGTGAACTATTTCCGGCCAATCTAAAGAGCATCGCCGGCTTTGTTGGGAGCCTATCATCGGCAGTCTTTGCTTTCCTATCGAGCAAGACTTATCAGCCACTGGTGGATCTCACGGCGGAGCAATATGTTTTTTGGATATACGGAATCATCATGTGTGGTGCACTGGTATTCGGTATATGGATCATGCCGGAAACGAAAGGAAAGTCGCTACAGGAAGTTCGCGACATGTTAGCGGGACGAGAAGTCACGAGGGATGCTGTGAAGGATGAGGAGAGCGAGCCACCTGAAAAACGTACGGAGGAGACGTAAAATTCAAGATTTTCGCAGGGAATGAAAATTTTCATCAATCTTTCTTAATATTCGTAGAGTCACGATTCTGTGGTTCTTTCAATCTTTTTTTTTCATATTTTCTAACTCACGTCACATTCAAAACGTGACTAGTTTGATTATTCGCTTCTGGTTCATGTATACCGGGCGATGTAATCCCAATGAAGTTAATGACTTAACACTAGATTTACGGAACCCGTAAATTTGACGGATTTCAAATTTCATGTTAAACTCTTAAACTCCACACAGGTGCGAATTACAAATTCGCACTAACCAGTTGTGATTTAAAGGTGCGTGATCGAGGTGTGGAATTTAAGAGTTGAAGTTAAAGAAATCATAAATATTATTTTTCATCAATTTAGTGGTGACTTTGATAATCATTGTCCGTAAATCTAGTGTTAACACTATGTGACACGATCCTATAATCCACTAGCGCTTTGAGTCACCTCCTGAATAATATTTGACTGTAGGAAAACACAATTTATAAAAAAAAAAATGTGACATACTTTAATTCTCTGTGTACGAAAATAACAGTTACGCATTCAAAAGTTACACGTTATAAATTGATGTAGCGATAAGGAAGATCACGCTGTGAAGTGATGCGCCGTAAAATTTGGATTAATGTATTCTATATAATACATAGCTCCATCCATTCAACAATAACATAATATTACTGTAGCAAATTGTGCCAGGCGAGATAATTCATATTCGAACGTACAGACAATAAATGGACTATTAATCGAAGAAACACCCGAGTAGTCTCTGGGCATCGTGCAGAGCCCGACTAATTTCCCGAATAGAATCTAGGACCTAGAAAGGATATAACTAGAGCCTATCTCGAAACATCCCGCTTTCGTTAACAAACGACCCTGATATTTTGATTATCTAGGTTATAAAAAAAAATTATGTAATGAGCTCGAATATTATCGCAGCCGTGCACACAAGAAATTTTATGTAAATATATAACGCTAAAACTGGCAGAAAGACCTAGCAGACATCATCGTCCGGGGAGAAGTAGATCCTGAGAGAGACTGTACGCTCCCCACTGTCGCTACAGAACAGGTCGGCAGATCCTGCAGTAGGCAATTTCAGCGGCATGTAAATATTATAGAAATAAGAGTGACTCATCTGACTTCTACCAGCAATTATATGAATAACAATTCACCATTAAAACAGTCCTATTCTAAGACTAAAAGTGAAAGAAACATTAATACAATAACTGCCCCTTTTAGACTGAGAGTGTAAAACAGTGAAAACATCAAAGCCAAATATCATTCTCCTTCGTCTAAGGCTCTTCGGTCTAACTTCTTAATTTCAAAATGTAGACTCACTAGAGAGACTCGGAATTTCGAATAGGGTAGGAGGGGGTAAATAGTAAATACGAAACGTTATCTTATCGCTACAAAAAACACATTAATGGTATGTGAAACGATAGATCGTCTTCGTAGCTCTCACATGTAACATTCGGTAGAACCATCGACCAGTGAAAGAAGAAAAAAATAATGGTTACACTGATAACAAAAAACATCATAGGAAGACACACGTGGCCACAATGGCTCGCCGGATTTCAAGGTTGGTGACAATAATCGTCAACGATAAAGAAAAGTATTCACATTAAAAAGAAAGAATAGTCATGCAAAATCTTCGCTTCGGTTATTGGGTTGTGTAAGAAAGATAAAATAAACATTTATATACGTTATAGTGCTACAGTCTAAACTTTATATTCGCAGTGTGCGTGCTGAGTATAGTAATCGGTATGGTACAAGGCTGGGCGTCGCCCTATCTGGCTAAATTGATAAAGGACGATTCATCCCTTCGCGTCACGACTGACGAAGCTTCTTGGATCGCAGCCCTCATGAACGCCGGCCGACTAATCGGTGCCATATGCGGTGCACTCATCGTGTCATATCTTGGTAGCAAGAACGCATTGATGTTCACTGGACTATTTCCAGCATTGGGATGGATCTTCATCATATCTGCCGATTCCGTCTATTGGCTCTACACATCGAGGGTACTATCTGGAATAGGAGTAGGCATGGTGTTCACATGTTTCCCTTTGTACCTTGGCGAAATAGCAGATCCTAGCATACGCGGTGCTATGGTGACTTTCGTCGTAAACGGAATGGCCATTGGAGTCCTGATTGGTAACAGCATGGGACCATTCATGTCAATGACGAAATTTGCCTACATCGCTCTGCTGCCGAATCTTCTGTTTCTCGCATTCTTTTTCATTCTGCCGGACTCTCCGCATTACCTCGTGAGTCAAAGAAGAATCCAAGAAGCCAGAAAGTCCATACGATGGTATCATCACGATGTGGACGCTAACAAGGAATTGGACTCTATACAAAATTTCGTGAGGGAATCGAACGCTATGAAGTTTATGGATAAAATGAAGGAAATAGGAAAAAGAAAAAACAGAAAGGCTCTACTCATGCTGATTATACTTTTCTTCTTCCTGCAATCCAGCGGTATAAGCTCCGTTCTGTTTTACATGGAGATCATTGCTACGAATGCGGGCGTCACTGTTATGTCGCCTGCTATGTTGGTTGTTGTTATTAACACTATCAGATTTATCGTCGGATGTTTGGCCATTTTCTGTATTGATAAATACGGCAGAAGGAAATTACTAGCTTTATCAAGCGCAAGCGTCTGTTTGTCATACACTTTGTTAGGAATTCACTTTACGCTCTTGAACTTGAACTATGATGCTAGTGAACTTCAATGGCTTACAATAATCGGCCTACTTTTGTTCACACTCGTATGCATCGGACTTATGCCAGTGTCCAACACTATGGTTAGTGAAATGTTGCCGTCGCATCTGAGAAGCGTGGCTGGTTGTATAGCCAGTGTTAGTTCAGCTGTGTTTGCCTTCGCAGCTAGTAAGAGTTATCAACCAATGGTGGATGTTGTGGGTGAACAATACGTTTTTTACATTAATGCTATTCTTATGGCAATTTCAGTCATTTATAGTCTTCACGGTGTGCCTGAAACTCAGGGAAAAACATTGCAGGAAATACAAGATATGCTAGATGCACGTTGAATGACTGTGCTGAGAGTCTGATGGGTTTTTAAAAATTTTTTTTTAATAACAAAAATATAGGCAATTAATGCACGACTTAGATTTACAATTATAATTATTAAGTTGACAATTTTCAGTTTCGAGTCTCTATTGTGTAAAAAAAACTAATAAAGTGCAATTAATTAAAAACACGTGTAAATAATGATGGAATAGTAAACTGATCTATGTCAATCTTATGATAAAACAAGTACCACTTCTTAACTCACGAGTGAATGTAATTGATAAGATTGAAGTTTTCTATTTTTGTTCTAAAAATATAATCAGCAACTGTTTGTCCTCGGCTATCTTTAGTCGATCCAGAATATCTACCATACGCTATAACAGTCGAAAAACGGATTTGGAACTTCGCTTGTGACAAACGAAAGATTACGATCAAGATTGCTATGTTAATATTAAAAAATTTCAATATGACAAGGGTAATTGACTATTTTATGGTGATTTTTATCATGAATTTTTCAGGAAATAAGAAACAGATACGATAAGGTATTAGCTAAGATAGCATTAGATTTGAAAACAAGTACCAATCGAAAAAAGAAAACAAATACAATGTTATAAAATCGATAATCATAATAAGTCTCCTTATCTGGGAGAAAGAATCAATGTATATCTTATCAGAGTTAATGGCTTATTAAATACCAGGGTTCGGAAGGTTAGATTCATTGCCTTGTGGGGTCTGTTAATGAGAGTTTCGAATTAAATTTCACGAAAGAATCACCGAGCATGATTCTAAATACGAAAGGCAAGCTATTAAGCAATACATGGCCACAATGGATAGCTGCAATCGAAGGTAAGTCGAGACAATTACAAAGTATAAATAAAAAATATATATATTAATATATTATACATCGATAGTATTCATGTTGGCGGCATCAACGGGCTTCATGTTTGGCTGGGGCTCACCGTACTTGGTTCTTCTGACAAGTGACGAATCTCCTCTGCCAATAACCAACGTCGAAGCGTCCTGGATAGCAGCAGTGTTAAATTTAGCCAGAGCATTCGGGGCAATAATTGGCAGCGTATTCATGGCACTCTACGGAAGTAAAACAACTTTATTCATTGCCGCAGTTCCGCCAATATTTGGATGGATCTGTGTCATAGTGGCTAATTCAGTGTGGTGGCTCTATGCGGCTCGATCATTGTTGGGTTTATCTATTGGAATGATCTTTGCCAGTTTTCCCATGTACCTCGGAGAGATATCAGATCCTTCCATAAGAGGAGCCTTGGTCGGATTCATAATGAATGGATTTACGACCGGAACTGTCATTGGAAATATAATGGGCTCGTACGTAACTATGGCAGTATTTGCCTATATCAGTCTAGTCCCAAGCGTTTTGTATCTCATTTCTTTCATCTTAATACCACAGTCGCCTCATTATCTTGTACGAATATCGAAACTTGAACAAGCTAAAAAATCCATCGAGTGGTACCATCCAAATGGGAATTCGGAGATCGAGCTGGAGGCTATAGTGAACTTCATTAAGAAATCGGACAAGCAAAGCTTTACACAGAGATTGAAGGAGATGAATCAGCGAAAGAATCGAAAATCTTTTTTTATGATAATTATTTTATTCTTCTACATGCAACTCTGCGGACTGAACAGCATTCTCTGCTACATGGAGATTATTCTCATCGATGGCAAACTCACTGTTATCGAGCCGTCTACTCTGGTTATTATTGTTAATACTACACCAGTTTTTCTTGGATTACTAACGATTTACACTCTTGATAAATTCGGTAAAAAAATTGCACTTTGCGTATCCAGCAGTGGTGCAACACTCTCTATGGGACTTCTGGGAGTGCACTTCATGCTTTTGAAATTAGGCTACAATTCTGACAATCTTCAGTGGCTTCTAATACTATCTATGTTTTTGTTCCATTCGATACATCTAGGAGTCGTGCAAGTGCCAAGCGCGATACTCGGCGAAGTCTTTCCAGCGAATCTCAAACCTGTGGCTGGTTTGATAGCCAGCATTTCTTCGGCACTCTTTGCATTTGTCGCTACTAAAATGTATCTACCCATTGTAGATCTAATAGGCCACGAATATTTATTCTGGATTTTTAGCGGTATTATGTTGACATGTGTGGCGTACAGCATTTTCAAGCTTCCTGAAACCAAAGGAAAAACACTGCAGGAAATTCAGGATATGTTGTAGTTAAACGAACAAGATCTTCCAGTACGTAGATGGTGGAGAAACAATGTATTGCTATTTCAGCAAACAGATAAACATTTCCCTTCATTGTGTACTTTGGTAGCACTATGTACCAACGGCATTGCAAAAGGAAAAATTATATATAGAACTATATGGAAAATTATATATAGAGTGCTACACCCAAACCGGTGACGTCAATGCCCAACACGTGGCGTTGAAAAATTTTGTAACGAGACAAATAATGTTGACAATAAAAACGACAAATGATAAATAAAACGTACCAAATAATGTTATTTTCAATAAAAATTTTTTATAATATTTTATAAGAAATCCTTCATCGATATTAATAGTCGTGCATTAGGCGATTAACGCGTTAAATCTTACGTATTGCATTAGAATTACCCAACCTATATTTACATCAACGAATAATACAGATATGCTACCAGGTGATACATTTTTCATAGAATCCAACTTGGCACCAGATATTGATTTCAAAATTTTTTGCACACCAAGTACCTGAAACCACTATACACACTTGGCGCCCTATCTTTACACCCGAGATGTTTTTGCCGGGTATCATTATATGGGCCAAAATAAAATGGATCAAACTAGAATGCCTATACAGTTTATTTTTAATATATTGATACTATTTCGGGATTTTGGCTGTATATACGATGCTCAATTTTAGCGATCCAAAATCCTTGTTCAGCCTTTCTGTATCGAAGCGTTTACGTAATTGGCTGTTATTAGTGAACATGTTCCTCTTTGTCATTCTGCACATATACATTGTTCCTGTACCAACCACTGTCCTTGACATGATGATCTGGATGTCTATTAAAAGCTTCGCGGCATTTATAGTCACTCAGCTACGGCGACCAAAACTTTTCAAATGCTCGTTGAGATTGAGTCACAGGGATAAACTTTTTTTTTATCGTTTATCATATTGGCTTATATACATTGCAGAGTTAATACATTTTATATGAAAATATACTGCTCATAATAATTTCTCAAAATTATACCTATCAAAATAATAAACTGATACGAGTATCCCGTGCAGTGATACTAGATTGACAGAGTCTTGGGCCAATGATGACAGTCAGTCATTCAATAAGTGAGTGAGTAAATAAGTTCAAATAAAGTTCACCCTTGTCTTCTCATGAAAATCTTCTCCTAATATTCTGTTCCTTTACTAGAATCCATGTAAGGAATATTATTATGATTAGAAATTAACGAATTAATTTGTGATCAATTAATGAATTATTATTTTCTGAGATTTATACAAAATTTGGTTGGTTTTAAAAAATACTGGTCTAAATTGGTTACGGGCGTACATAAATTGTCATTCCCTAGTATAGATATGCACTAGTTCAAAGGGTGATTCACTGAAGTCACTCACGAGTTCTTCTAGTAATCATAAAGCACGCAAAAATAAAACCTGGTGATAAGGCGTATAATTTATTACTCGTCTTGCGTTGTGAAAATCACGATGATAAAATCTTTTTTAGTCTCATTTGAAGTTCGGTAACACAAGTCATTCCATGTAATAAAATCAGGCAGCTAGTTCTCCGGATATCATTATAACACAAGAGGCTAGCAATACAACCACACGTTACAGTATTTACTATACAACGCGTACGAACTCATCGATAACTTAAAATCGAACTTGTGCATGAGAAAAAAAACGTAGTTTGACAAATGATTCGACTTTCTGGATTATTGGGAATACAATAACGATGTTATTAAGCGAGATTCTTTTTTATCTTGTCGCGGTATTACGTTGTAACTGTAAAAAATTACAAAACCACCGTGAGACGCCGTTTTTCTCATAAACTGAAATTTGGACTATTTAAAAATTGCTAGCAGACACGTATCGATGTCTCGATTCGCACCGAACCTCTTAAAAAAATACAAATTATGGCCGCAGTGGTTCGCAGTACTAGAAGGTAGGTGAATCCAAATAATATACATATATATACGTATATCTATAAATTGACATACCACATTGATAATTTATATCCTCATTATCACGACTTACTGTATCACTATAAATTCATATGATTTCAGTAATGATGTTATCTATGTCGATCGGTATGACAGGCGGCTGGGCTTCGCCCTATTTAGCGAAATTAACGAGCAAAAATTCGTCACTTCCAATAACGGAAGCCGAGGCATCCTGGGTAGCATCGATTCTGAGTATAGGAAGAATATGTGGCTCGATACTCGGTGCGATATTCGTGGAGGTACTTGGCAGCAAAACGTCACTGTTGCTCAGCGGAATACCACAGGCTGCTAGCTGGGTGCTTCTGATAATCGCCAATTCGGTGGAATGGATCTATGCAGCCAGAACATTGGCCGGCGTAGCACTTGGAATTTACTTTTGCTCGTTCCCACTATACATAGGAGAAATATCAGAACCCAGAATACGTGGTGCTTTGGTAGCTCTGTGCAGTAACGGCATGCCAATTGGAGGCCTGATCGGAAGCTTGATGGGACCTTACCTGTCAATGGCGGAGTTCTCTTACACGAGTCTGGTACCTACCATGTTATTCCTCTTTATTTTCCTACTGCTGCCATCGTCGCCGCACTATCTGGTACGATCGGAGAAAATGGAAAAAGCAGCAAAGTCAATACAATGGTACAGTCAGGATGCTGACGTCGATGCCGAACTCCTGGCATTGAAAAATTTCATTGAAGCCAATGGCAAGAAGCAGCCCTTCTGGAAATTGCTCAAGGAGTTTATCGTACCGAAAAACCGAAGAGCTCTTATTCTGACAAATGTACTTTTCCTCTTTATGCAACTGAGTGGACTTTATAGCATTATCTTTTATTTGGAGATCATAATGATTCGTGCACAAGTGACGGCAGTGCAACCTGCTAGCGTGGTTATCATGCTGAGTGCTACAGGTATGGTTTCTGGATGGTTCGGTATGTATTTCATCGATAAATACGGCAGGAGGGTTTTACTTTGTACATCCAGTGCTGGAGTCGCTGTTGCTATGACCTTGCTTGGACTTCACTTCATGTTGCTGGATTTGGGTTACGATCCTCAGTTACTTCAATGGATAGCGATAACGTCACTTTTACTTTATCAGTTGTCCCTTTACATCGGGATTGTAATGGTTCCGCCCACTATACTCAGTGAATTATTTTCGCCGAATATCAAGAGCACTGCTTCCGCCATTACGAACATTAATTCAGGACTTTTTTCATTTGTCTCCAGCAAGACGTATCAACCGATGGTTGACGTCTTGACGGAGAAATATGTTTTCTGGATATATGGTGTATTCGTGCTGCTTCTTATAATCTATACCATCTTCAAGATTCCGGAGACTAAAGGAAAGTCTCTTCAGGAGATTCAAGAGATATTAGCTAAAACGTGATTGCATAGAGGATACAAGCTTTTGTCTACTTAATAATCATTGCAACCGAATTTTTTAGATAATTCTCTGATATTGATTTTCACTAGGCGAAATATTTTCATTTTATTTAATTCTTCCACAATTATCCTCCTGTCTGTCTCGTCTCTTATGCAACGGTTGAACGATACAATAATCGTATTCTTCGACTGAATTGCCGCTGCTTCGATATTACATTTAAATCTAATACCAGGATTCATATTCATTCCGGGATGCAGTTTAACGTAGGAAAAACTTGTTGAGTTTTCCTGTATGCGTATTCGCGGTATATATTAAAAGCGTCGCGGCGCTTATCACCGACCGTGTCGTCGGGACGTTATTCACTTATTGCTACTAAAATTTATGAACTGCTTGTTGATGTTCAATCGCTGCAAAGTAATTTCACTTTATAACATTACTGGGTATTATACATATACATATATAAGCTCTGTATCTTAGAAAGTTAAACAATTTTGTTAAATAATAATACAATTGGTACTAAGAAATTTCGTAAATTTGCATTATTGTGCAAAGTCCTCACATGAAAGATAACGAAAACTAAATAGCATGAGTTATATACGATTACATACGTCGACGATGATTTTGATTGTATTATCAACGTTAGTTCAACTTAACACAGCAACAATAGATTGTTAAACCACTGACAGCCTATCCAAAGGAATTTCATAGTCACAATGGCTAATCGGCGGTGGAAACAAAAAAAAACCAAAACCTATATTTCTGACATGTTTCAAGATCAGTAAAAAAAATGACGAAAAAGTATCAGTAGTTATTCTACTCAGTGACACAGCTGGTCCAGCAGCTGCAAATAATGACTGCCTAGCCCTCTCTCTGTACTTGGCCAAGTTCACGGTATCAAATTCGCCGTTATCAATTACGATAAAAAAATGTTCTTAGGCGGCATCGCTTATCAATCTAGGACGACTAATAGGCGCCGTCTTGGGTCCCATAGCCGCCTAATTTTTCGAGAGCAAAACAACGATACTCACCGCGTCTCTGCCCTTTATTGCCATCAGCTGGGTTTTCACAGTTTTGTCTAACGGTGTCGAATGGCTCTATACGTTCAGGACGTTCAGTAGTTTCAGACGGGGAATGTCTTTTAGCAGCTTCCCATTATTCCTTGTAACATACGATCCCAGCATCCGTGGTGTTTTGGTTACGTTAGCCATATGTGGTTTACCGGTAGAGAATTTAATACGAACGATAGGGAGCCACGTATTTACCTATGGCTCTTCTGGTCTGAATCAGCCTTGGGCCAAGTTCGGTTCTTGCTGCTCTGTTCGTTTATCTTTCCGAATCACCGCACTAATACGTACGATATCAGAAAACGATAAAGGCCAAAGAATCGATACTTTGATACAGTAGGGCTGCTGATGTCGAGATTATTCTCAATCCCTTTAACGAGAAACAGAGAATTTCAGATTCCTCAAATGGTAAATGTTACGGAACTTGTTACTGTTTTCTTTACGTATGCAGGATTTTTGGGCATGCATATAGGTAAATATTGTTTCATTTGGAGAATTAAGTCTCACGACGGACAAGACGACGAAAATAATTTCGATAATTATTTATTTCCTTAGACCTGGTCACTCTGCAGAGCTACACATGCATGCTGCATTATTAGAACGACGAAACACTGTCAAATAATCTCGAAAATTGGTAATCTTTATTTTTACTCTAATCAAAAGTTAAAAATGGGTCGAGACACGTGACAGGCGAAAAAATTAAAAAAGAAATAGATTACGTATTTACGGAGAATAAATGAGATTTTATTCTCGCCGAAGGAAGATCCATGCAAATATATAGTGCCTGCTAGTATACATATATACATAACAAGTTATTACTTTACAAAAGCAGCAATTATCATGCAAATTCATATACCGCAATACTCAAAGCATCAACGTAAGCAATTGCCTGTGCGTCCATACACGCACAACACACGACTTGACTGCAAGCTCGACGCGCAGTACATAAATTGATCAATGCTACGCAAAATACCACTAAAAAAGAAATATATTTAGGGACAGAATAGAAGAAAAAACTTTTCATTAGAAATGCATAACAAGAGTCATAAATAATGTACAATACGGAAGCAAGTCATATATTTAGATAATTTTCGACCTCCTATTAATCGCAAGAAACGCACGAGCAAACAGCATATAAATTCGAACCAAGATAAATTTTATTATGCGGCCTTACGTCAATATACTTTTAAGCCTGTCATGAAATGCAAGCATGACATTCGTCGTCATAAAAAATTAAACGTCAAATATTTTTACCGAAACATCAAATGCGTGGCTAATTCAACACACAACGACAAGTCAAGTAACGTACAAGCTAATAAATCTGCGAAGAGTTCGCCTCTGAATGACACTTCCCAATAAATTCAAGTAAGTCATAATGGAATAATTAATATCGCTCATAAAAGTTTATCCGAATAATAATCAGTGCGAAGTTCATGAATGAAGAAATTTTCTGTAAGCGTTATCTATACAGTTTAATAGTATATATCTCGTTTCCATCCTTTTATTACTGTTAACTCCCCTACTTTATTCTTTACACGATACGTTCAATGAAGACTTTATCACCTCTGATAAAATCTACCTCTCCATTATGCTAGGAACTCTTTTAAGATTGCACCAGAATCATAATGCCATGAGCGATCTTCTTGCAAATTATAATGGAATCAATTATTCGTACGAACCTCGTCAGGTCTCTACGTGCTTTTCGTATGGACGAAACGCTTTTCATGAATTATTCTATACATCCTTACGTAACGAGTACGCAATATCGTGCGCGCATAAAACTGCATTCAAGTATATGTATATCTAATAGTACACCATCTGCTCCGAGATTCAGCGCGCGGTGTGTTTTATAACGCGTTTAGTGAAAAAGGTCAAACGTGACCTCGCCAAGAGGATTATATCTTGGTGAACTTTGGCCTTTGCAATACTACCTGCGAAAAGTTGTCTGCCATGTGCCAGAGCATATACACCAATATGTATAACAGCAGAAGGTGAAATCTGATCGTTATCATACAAATAAAAGCGTCTCGTGTGTAAATCAATATGTATGAAAAAAGAAACTGAACGATTGCGTAATTAAAAGTTCGACGTATTTTTATGAATTTCGCATAAATTTCGCATTCCAGTGAAACAACAATGGAAATAAGGTATTTGCAAAATGCAGACATAAGCTATGCTAAATTAATAGCACCGTAAAAGAATGTGCGTTACAGAAAAAAAAAATAATAATAATAATGTAAAATCCAGGAAATTAGAAATTCAAGGAATTTTACGTAGTAAAACTGAAAATCACAAGCCCTCGAGAGATAAGTCAGAATTACAGCCTGAAGCTTTGCGACGTAACCACGTAAGCATTTCTCTAACTCTAAGTGCACAAATGCAGAAAAAAAGGCAGTGACGAGAGTCGGAGATGCTAGTGAAAAGGTACTTATGGGTTCGACGAAAGTTGCACATCTATATACGTAAACTGAGTACTTCGTTTCAAGATATGATTCATGTACCAATTAATCTTATCTTCCTGGAAGTAAGCACCGTTTTTCGTTAGGAAGTTTCGAACTGCCATTATCCAACCGCTATATGATTTGGAAACTAAATACATTGCTTATAGTAAAACCAAGAAGGCCAAGCAGCTCTAACAGTTAGGCATTTAATCAAGCGAGTACATTGACTATCAATAAAACTCAACTCGAATCTCTACAAGACTGTAACCCTGAGAAAACTTAGCAAAACAAATTTTCCCGAAAGTCATATTGGTTCTTCCATGTAAAACCTTTGTTTCCTCTTCAAATTCCAGCTCCGAGTATTCGAAACGAAATTGTTCATGGTATTGAAAATGAAAGATCTCGTAAGGATACAGCTGCATTTTCTTCATCCACTTAGGTTAGCCAGAGGAAAAGATGCGCTCAGGATCCTTTTCTTTAACAGCCAATGCTATCACTAACTAAATGTATATCCACAGCTACAGAGGAGAATGCAGCTAGCTAAATGCTCACGTGTAGCTGGAGCATCATTTTAGAGGCACCGACTGATTCACTTGGTACACGGCTGAGCTTTTGAAGCTGGCATTCCTTTTGCGAGGGCATCGATCCTCCCTTCTTCCTACGTACGAAAGACACCGCACCTACCAGACTTTCTCTCGACCTGCACGTTGTACCTTAGGTTAGGTTGATATGTATATCTGTTAGCATGGAACGAGACTGTTGGTCTCCAGCCAAGTCGTGGATACGCATTAACGGGCAGTGACCCAAATTTTCAAGGAGGAACTTCCGCTCATTCCCTACGTTCGATCGATCTCTACGCAATGCACATAGATAGAAAGCACTTCCGCTCTTCTCGATGATTTTACAAAACTTGGTCCCGTGCTCCATTGAAGCTTTCGTTCCTTTATGCGAATATTCGACAATGACTAACGTTCTGCGCACCAGATTTAGGACGACGTATCGTGCTACCAATTTTTCAGTATGGACCCTTTTGAACTTTTCGGCAGTCTTGTTAAATCTAAAAGATTTTTTATCATTGAACCAAGTCAAGTACTTACGATAAAGTAGAATAACTTCAAGAGCCCAAGCACTTGGCGCAATGCTGTCGGATGACTATGGACCATTTCCAATTAAGAAATACGAGAAGAACTGAGTAACGAGTACCCTAGAAGAATTCTTTTATTCTCGAAGTCCAGACTCCCACTGGACCAGTACGGACCGACCCGTAGGAAAATTTTTCATTGCCAATGACTTTTTGCCAGAGGTAATGAATAGCTTGCCATTGGGGTTAATTGATTTTCCACGCCCCTACGAGCCCTGAATTTTCATAATGAAATTTCTCAAGTAATTTTTTACACCCGTAAAACTGATGGTTACATCGTAGAATAAGTGCAAAGAGAGAGTATTATGGATAATCCTAAGAAAAGCAGAAGACGAGCATTATGACATTATTGCAGTTGGTAATAGAATCGACTTGGCAGAGGCTGTAAAAATATGCGAGTGAGGTATGAATATTTACGCGAGGGAAATGAGTTGCAGGAAGTGAGCAAGAGCGAGAACTCGCTAGGGATTGGTCGCTCCGATGCTTCCGCCAATACATTACCTTTGACCTTACGGTATAGCTCGTGAGCATAATTGCATTAGAAATATAATAATTTAAATTCACTATAAATCCCGCCATACACAATTAGCCATATACATATATAGATATGTATACACGTATATACTTACAACTATAAAGCATGCTTATGTCGTGTGAACAATTTTCTGTATCGTAGACGCGTATTGTGTCAATCTACGAAATGGTGCTTCCGTGACGGTAAGTTGAAAAACAATTAAGTAAAACGAATAAGAGTCCAAAGTAGCAACGACTTCGAACCTTCCATATGCGATTACCCGACGGAATGCTACTATAGGTACGCGAAGCCAGAAAGAATATTCCTTTGGCTCAGTGAATTTCTGCCGCATCACCGATGCCTCGAGATGAAATATGGTCAGTTCTCCCTCTGGCTGGCAAACCCAGACTCGCTCGACCTTAGATCCCGAATATTCTAGAATATTAGAAACTTCCTTTACGAATCATCCCTTTGTATAAGCTGTATATAGATACGTATTGCGAATATAGAAGGCATCTTGCCCATTTATATACCTATAGAGTACATGCTGGCGCATTGGCAGGTCAAACATAAAAATCGCGTCTAAGAAGAAAGTCTGGATAAAGCAGGTTATATATACTTATCCCTTAAAACTCGCTGATCTGTATTAAGAAAATCTTTGGTATTTGAAAAGATGGAAAATGCGGAACGTGGAATTTTAAGATTTATGTTCGTTGGTTGTAAAGAAAAACACGAGATGAATTCTGTGAAGGGTGAGTATATACAGGGTTATTCAGTAGAAACGCACCACCTGAAGTTAGCGCGCCCATTTGAGTCTTATGGTAAAAGCATATTCAGGTAATGCGTTTCAGCTGCATAACCTGACATATCCACACACATGCTGCCGTGTCCTTTGTGAGATATCTGTATATACTTGGACCATCGAGATTGCAGATGCTGAACAGAGAGAGAAGAGAAAAGGAAAAGGAACGAAGATGTTATACATGTATCTGCATCTTTCGACCATTGGTTACTCAATCAATATACACCAGTAGCAGCGCATAAACCTGATACAGAGGAAAAATCACGATAAATGACTTGTAACTCACTCTGGTACATTCTATTGACACGTATTTGCGAATTACAATGTATCGAGGGAGCTTTGTAGAAGTTTGTGGTACTATGCATTGCGGAGTATTATATCCGGAAACGACGTATATTGATACAAGCAATTGAATATGAAATCATAAAATATCCCGTTTAAGAGTGGATTGATGCCATTAATTACATGAATCAATATCTGCTTATTACATAGGATTGATGATTTACGTGGCGCTACAGGACAAACGTGTCCCAACAAATCCACGTAATATGCGGTCTATGTTATTTTATCAAACACCATCATACGAGCTTAAACAACACGTACGTATCCCTAAACATAAATGACTAATAACGGATACTAATAATGAAATCAAATTTGTTCTCGCGGTCGTTAAGTATATTATTGTCATTGAAACTTTCCGAGAATATTTGTTTCGCTGCTCTATAACAGAATAGCGAAAAATAGTCGAAACGCAAGTCCAAGACTGTAAGGACATAACGAGGTTGATGTGGGAGCACAGAAGAGGCCGGAAGCCCCCGAGGTTTGAACTGCGAACCCTACCGGCAAATGGAGACTGGAGAGACTCCACAGCTCGCCACTTGCGCCTGAAGAGCTTTGCTTGCCTAGAACTCTCGAGCCCTCTGTTAATAGGGTGTAATACCACTGCAGCGCAATGCGTCGAGACGCGACGTTCCCGAGACGCAGGGTCATTAGAAATAATTTCGATAAAACGTAGAGCGCGCTCAAGGGAGCTGATACTTTTAAAAAATAATATATATTTTCAAAAAATAAAAATATTTCCACCGATATTCCTTTATTGTAAAAATCTGTCAATACCTTTATTCGTTCGTACCGAGAGAATCAATACGATCGGAATGGTCAAAATTCTGTACAAAAATTCATATTTTTCAAGCGACACGCATGAATTTCACACAGTAGATAGTTCAGACATAGATATGCCATTGGTTCACGTGAACAATGTGTGATGCGTTCAGCCGCTTTACCCCTATCCTTTTCTCAAAGCTATACTTCAGATTGAATATGTGGATATTGACGTTAATGCTGTATGTATGTACAGTGGTATATATTGTACATAGGTATGTCAGTGGCAGCAGGTGTTCAAGACACGTATGGTTGGGAGCAAATTTCAAACGTTTAACGACGCATTTCGACGGCAGTATGTATAACTGCACTGGTGACTAAATCTGTGCACCACCTACGACTCCACTTATACGTATAACACGCGTAATATTTCTATAGAAATATTTCTATGAAGTTGACTGATGCATTTTTCGTGTCGGATAAGCAGTCGGCTTAATTGACGTCA